GCAGGATCCATGCTAGGCTAAAGGCTAACCCCTCCAGACCAGCAGGACCGTCCTCCTACTCTCCAATGTCCCTCGACAACAAGCTAGACGAGCTACATTTGCTGAGAGAAGCCCGCAGAGAGGGGAAAGACTGCTGTGTATTTGCTTTTACAGAAACATGGCTCCATGACACCCTCCCAGACGGCCAGACAGCTGGAGGAGACGACATCGTTCCGGGCAGACCGACAGGCAGCTAGCTCTGAACTTTCCCAGAGCTGCTGCAGGAGCAGGACACTCAACTTTGTCAGGGAGTCCTCACACACTCTCCATAAACTGTTTGAACTGCTGCCATCAGGCAAACGTTTCCAGAGCACTGAAGGAATGAACCCCCAGACTGATCAGCAGCCCAAAAACAAGCAAACAAAAACCAAACAAACAAACAACAACAACAACAAAAAATCCTATGACCTCCCACACAGCCTGCTATTGGCATCAATGCCCTATCACACTTGAATTTGTTCTATGGCACTTATTTAGATGACTTTCTCCTGACTAGATCCTTGCTTGTGTTGTATCTGCTCTCAGATGTACGTCGCTTTGGATAAAAGCGTCTGCCAAATGAAATTGTAGAATCAACAGCTTTAACAGCTTCATTCCACAAGCTGTCAGAATGCTGAACTGCTGATCCGGATATGCAAACATTTCTATATTTAATTTCTTTTAGTTTTTGGATCCTGAAGAAATGCTCTCTAATCTTGTTTGCACTACTGTTGTATGTACAGCAAAATGACAATAAACTTGATTTGATCTGATTTATGTTTTGTAGCTTAAATGACAGCAAATCTGAATATTAACCTATAATGGTAGCTTTTGAACAAATGCAATGCAGAGAAAGTCTATATATATGGAAAGTAGAATAACATTTAAAAAAAATATAATAAGCACAAAGCAACCTAAAATAACTACTTAGTCACTTTCCACCGCTGGTTGTAGTTCATTTTAGTTGGAGGCCAATATTCTAGAAACTTAAGAAAGCATTCATCCATGTTATTTCTTACAGTGTACTCTTCATTGAGCAAAACAAGACATATATCAATCTGTCATGTGACTCCAACATGTCCTACAAGTAGACACAGTCATCCATGAAGACTATTTTTAAAGCTACTATTTCAGTTGTTGACACTGATCAGAAGTGAATTGTTGTGGCTCCTCTCTGAGCGCAGGCCACTTCCTCATTCCACCTTCACCTTTCACTTCCAAGAGGATTTGCGCGGCGCTTCTATTTCTGACTTTTAACGTCCGAGCCAAAGCACCTGTGAGGCGATCAAGGCTTGAAGAAAAAAAAAAACACAAAGCACGCAATATGTTCCTGCTCACCTTGGAGCCACTCGCTGACTCTCTCTTCGCTCCACGACGTTATAGGCTCCATGCTCGGAGTCCTGCTACAGTCGCTCGTTCAGCTGCCAGCTGTCCTGGCCGACTTCTACCTCTCGGGGCTGCAGGAAGAAGGAAAATGTGATCCTGGTTTGGAGTCGGACGATGACGAATGGCACTCCTTCTCGCAGGTACAGGTAAGAGTCCCCCTGCTGTCAGCCAATCGTGCGGAACTGTCAAGCTCTACCGGGAGCAGAGACCCCTCCCTTCCTCCTAACCCCCACCCCCCTCCTCACCTGGAGGAATCGTGTGTTTTTGAAAAGGTGCTGCAGCTTTAAGACTTCATAACTTGCCTCATACTTTCATGCACGGTACGCGTCATGCGCGCGGGCCTGTGGCAATTACGCAACAGCATGTGAAGGCACATGGAGGGCGGACACAGTAACAGCAACACCTGTACAGTGAATTATAATACAATACAATATAATAACCCGTAAAAAGCTATTGACTGCATCAGAAAAGATCCTTATTCAGCCTTTTCATCTCTCTATGCTGTGCAGTAGTTTAACACACATTATAGTGCAGTTTTTACAGTCTTGAGATATATTCGTAGAGCATGACCCTCCTAACGCTCCCCTTTGCTGAATAAGCTTGTGCCAGCGTTTCTCTGTTTCTCTGAAAGTTCACAAATTACCACAAGATGTCAAGAAAAAAACACAAGTTTCTCACAGACCAGCAAACCCAATCCTCTTTACCCAGTCCACCGTTTTGGCACTTTGGCAATTTTGTTACTGTACCCATTATTATTAT